ACCCAATATTCATTGTGGATGATTTTGTGTTTTTTCTAAAAAGAAATTTAAAAAATGTAAATTTCTATTGTACCAGATTCAGATATGCTATTATATGCCTTATTACATTTTAGTATTCCAAAATCGACCACATCTTCGCCAGTAAAAAAGATAGTTATTTAAAATTCTCAGATTACATTCACATTCACTGCATATGTATAGTAATGGATACACTAACTTTAAAACGTAATTAAGTAATTATTTTTATCATAGTTAAATTTATATACTTAGTCTAAGAAGGTCAAGGTAATATTAAATTAAATTCATTTTCTTCACTTTAATTTGTTTAAGAGATTTATTTTATTTTTTTAAGATTTAAACAAAAATTCTGGAATTACTGAACGTTTAACGATACAAAAATTAAATATCATTAAAAAGTATAGTCTTTTATTACCAAATTTGAACAAACTAAAATTAACGAACGGTTCAAAAAATGTTTTCATTGTATTTTCTAGACGAAACTGGAATATTCTTGATTAAATTTGTATCTGTAGATGGCACAAAAATCATTAAAGATGAATAAAAACGAACCAAACTATTTTTTAAATCAAAACGTGCCTATACTGCCCTGCACTAGAGCCCCCCAACTTCTATCAATAATATTGAGAACTAAATTGAAAATTCTGGTTATTGACAATATAACTTTCAGTAATCGATAAAATACAGGGGACATTAGTCCAAAAACTAGCACTTGGCCCATTTCTAACACTGAGTGTTAAAAATGGGCACAAATTGAAGCTGGGTTTTTAAGATCCCTGCCCATATTGAGAGTGAACGTCGGTAATAAAAACTAAAAACAACATTTTATTAAGCCTGAAATGGAGACAACTATTTCCAATTTTAAACTATTTTCTGAAATAGAAGTTATAAAAGGATTTATTTTTATATTAAAACCCTTGACCTTCAAGACAATGTCAGGTTTTCCATTTTCGAACATTCCTGAATTTGAATCATTGTCGCGTTTTCAAGACAAAACCCACTTTCCCGCTTTACAAAACTCACTTTCATAACAAAATAAATCACTGAAAACAAAAATTATCTTATGAAAACTAAATTAACTGCTGAATTATTTCTAGAATCTAAGTTTTCACATTTCATTTGTTTTATACGAGAATAAAGCTGATATCATTTACTGAATTCTAAACAAGGAATTTCCCGCATTTCTAGTTAAATCTACAATGTAAGAACAAAATTTCTCTAGATTATTTTCTATTTTGTTTATATTTTACCTTGTTAAAAGACTTGTTTTGTAACGTAAGTGCGTAAATACTTGAAACTTGACATTGATATTGAATTCGAGTAATTGTCTCAAAACCAGGATATGTTCCGAAAACGCGACATGAGCTGAAATCCGGTAATTGTTTCAAAATAGGGATATGTTCTAAAATGAAAACAAAAATCATCAAGAATTAATTATCACACCTTATTATAAGTTTTAAATTGACATTTCTTGCTTTAACAAAAAGTTTTAGCCATTTCTCATCAATGTATGTGTAGTTTTGTTCAACTCGGCTTGGATACAAAGATATAGACGCTTGAAAAAGATAACTTTGCAGATTTGGCCCATTTCTAACACTCAGTGTTAGAAATGGGCTAAGTGTTAGCTTTGGAACTAATTCCCCCTGTAACACGTGAGAAAGTTTTTAAATCTTTAAAATTCAGGATTGCAAGTTCTATTTATATTTGTTCAACGAGCGTACAGAAGAATAATTGACGTCTAAGTTCTCTCTTTTAATTTTAAATATTTCCGAGGATTTTTCTAATTGTAATTTTCATATTTTTTAACTAACATATTTCTAGGAAATTTCAAATTTAAAGATAGAGTTGATGGTTAAACTTTGAACGAGACAAACAAGAAAGAGAAAAACGATATTATAAATATATTATATATCATTTAGAAAATTCAATATTTTTGTATTTTGACATACAACAGCAGTACGTGTTTGGAAACGAGATATTTTAACATATTTTAGAATGCGATGGTACATAGAGTACATATGGTTTTAAAAACAAATAAATGATTTTTGAAAATTAACAAAGAAGTAAAGTCGTCTCTAAAGTCTAATTCTGTGGTTACCTCTGTGCATAAAGGTTGAGTGTTGATAGAACCCGATGTTGAGAGAACCAGAGGTTGAGAGTTGATAGAATCCGAGGTTGAATGTTGATAGAACCCGAGGTTGAGGTAACCCGAGGTTGAGAAAACCCGAGGTTGAGAGAACCCGAGGTTGAGAGTTGATAGAACCCGAGGTTGAATGTTGATAGAACCCGAGGTTGAGAGAACCCGAGGTTGAGAGAACCCGAGGTTGAGAGTTGATAGAATCCCGAGGTTGAATGTTGATAGAACCCGAGGTTGAGAGAATCCGAGGTTGAGAGGTTGAGAGAACCCGAGGTTGAGAGTTGATAGAACCCGAGGTTGAGAGAACCCGAGGTTGAGAGTTGATAGAACCCGAGGTTGAATGTTGATAGAACCCGAGGTTGAGAGAATCCGAGGTTGAGAGTTGATAGAACCCAAGGTTGAGAGAACCCGAGGTTGAGAGAACCCGAGGTTGAGAAAACCTGAGGTTGAGAGAACCCGAGTTTGAGAGAACCCGAGGTTGAGAGAACCCGAGGTTGAGAGAACCCGAGGTTGAGAGTTAATAGAACCCGAGGTTAAATGTTGATAGAACCCGAGGTTGAGAGAACCCAAGGTTGAGAGTTGATAGAACCCGAGGTTGAGAGTTGATAGAACCTGAGGTTGAGAGAACCCAAGGTTGGGAGAACTCGAGGTTGAGAGTTGATAGAACCCGAGGTTGAATGTTGATAGAACCCGAGGTTGAGAGAACCCGAGTTTGAGAGTTGATATAACCCGAGGTTGATTGTTGATAGAACCCGAGGTTGAGAGAAACCGAGGTTGAGAGTTGATAGAACCCGAGGTTGAGAGAACCCGAGGTTGAGAGAACCCGAGGTTGAGAGAACTCGAGGTTGAGAGAAACCGAGGTTGAGAGAACCCGAGGTTGAGAGAACCCGAGGTTGAGAGTTGATAGAATCCGAGGTTGAATGTTGATAGAACCCGAGGTTGAGAGAACCCGAGGTTGAGAGTTGAAAGAACCCGAGGTTGAATGTTGATAGAACCCGAGTTTGAGAGAACCCGAAGTTGAGAGTTGATAGAACCCGAGGTTGAGAGAACCCGAGGTTGAGAGAACCCGAGGTTGAGAGTTGATAGAACCCAAGGTTGAGAGAACCCGAGGTTGAGAGAACCCGAGGTTGAGAGTTTATAGAACCCGAGGTTGAATGTTGATAGAACCCGAGGTTGAGAGTTGATAGAACCCGAGGTTGATAGAACCCAAGGTTGGGAGAACTCGAGGTTGAGAGTTGATAGAACCCAGTGTTGAATGTTGATAGAACCCGAGGTTGAGAGAACCCGAGGTTGAGAGTAGATAGAACCCGAGGTTGAGAGAACCCGAGGTTGAGAGAACCCAATGTTGAGAGAACCCGAGGTTGAGAGAACCCGAGGTTGAGTGTTGATAGAACCCGAGGTTGAGTGTTGATAGAACCCGAGGTAGAGAGTTGATAGAACCCGAGGTTGAGAGTTAATAGAACCAGAGGTTGAGATTTGATAGAACCCGAGGCTGAGAGTTGATAGAAACCGAGTTTGAGTATTGATAGAACCCGAGGTTGAGAGTTGATAAAACCCGAGGTTGAGAGTAAATAGAACCCGAGGTTGAGTGTTGATAGAACCCGAGGATGAGAGGTCGGAACTCTAAAATCTCCGAAACATTCTGAAGGCATCCTTCTGGTAGGACGGAGGTGATAACTTTGAGGCCAAGTCAGTTCCCACGATAGGTTCAGTTCTGCCGATGGTTTAATTCGAATAAAACAATTCGACACATCAATATCATCAATATATACATTTAGCTTTACTGTGTGCTCGCGTTAAAAAATACAAATTGGCTAAACCAATCAGGCCCAACTTTCTGATGTAAAGGAAAGTTAATGGCGGGTCGTAAATAAAAAAATTGTCTTTTAAAAGTTTTAATTTTTCGGAATTTATATATAAGCGAAAACAGAAAAATCCTCTATATTTTACCTTGTTATTTTTAATCAATTGTTAAGACACAAAGAGTTTGTGATCTGTTTATTATGGGATGGTTTTGAAAAAGCACGGCTAGCTAGACAGACGTGAATTTATAGAAAACCTTGTCAAACTTTAAAAACTAAGAAATTTTCCATTTTCAGATTTAATTGTGAAAATAGTTATGGATTTAAACTTAAGAGTCTGGATTAACTTTTTAAACGTAATTTCCCATATTAAATTTGAGATTTACTTTTAAGTCAACGTTTTATTCATATTTACCATAAGCTTTATGTTTAAAATGTTTCAATATACAGCGTGTCCCCCGAAACATGACGAACCATGATTATCTGTAAATCTCTTGTATTTTAAGGTAAATAAAAAGATTAACAACTTTTTGGAAATGCCATGGACTAGGGGAATTTTGTGATCATTGTTTCAAAAATCATCCTTGTTTGTAATTACTGGTGGACAAAAAATGTCCAAAATGTTTAAAAACTCAAAGACGATAATAAAGTCGTCTGTGATGTTTATCGGAAAACCCTGTATAGTGTACGTGGATTTTCTTTGATATAACAATCAGCTGTGCTGTTTAACAAAACTGATATTCCATGTTCCATGTTCATGCTTCAGCTAGGGCCTATTTCTTAAATAGTTTTTTTACAACCCCAAACCAGGTCATTTTGTCAATTTTTCAATTCGTTTTGTTATGGTCATTTATGGTCAGTAAAAAAACATGTCATAACGAATTGAGCAGCAGAGTAAGTGTTTTTTTTGGGGAAATAACAATTCTAATTTTGTTTTTCATTGGAATCTTCTCTATTTATTTTCGAAAACTTCAGCTCGTATAACGACTCAATTCCTTTACAAAATTGTTGTTTCATTTTTTAAAATATTAAGTCTTTTTACGTACCGTTGTCCAGCCAAGTGTCACTTTCCCTTATTTCAGGTTTAAAAATGAGCAAGAAACTGAGACGATTATCAATAACTTCAGGTAAAAATCAACCCATTTAATTTAGAACTTTGAAGCAAAGTTAACTAAGAACCTTCCCGTGGTTCTACCCTGTTATCCATATATAACATTGAGACAAATAGATTACGAGGTTCATGAGTGTTGATCTAATATACACACAAACTGACAGGCTGAGGTCAAAAATATAAAGATAATCTATAGATTAGTGGTTCATCCTCTCAAATATGATAAAGACATTTTTCTAAATTGTTTTTAACAGTAATGCTTGTTTCATTAAAATTATTATAATAGATATATTTGTTTCTCTTTAACCAACTTACGTCACAATCATTTTCCTAATATTATGCCTCAATTCAATGTTTTTTTTGTATATTGTACAATACGCATCCTATCCAGGGATAAAGCAAATAAAACTATAATTCTATTGGAAACTTGAAATTTTAAATCATAACCCAGTTGCTATTGACTTCGAAAGGCCGGCCATTACAGAAGGTTTAAAAGGTTTTTAACAATTATCACTTTTATTACAATTAGATAAAAGTGCGATTGTAAAATTCTCAGATTTTAAATGTTAAAACCCTTAAAAAGTGATGTTAAAAATTATTGAACATCACAAACAAACACATAATTAATAGAGAAATATAAAAAATAACTCTTTTTTATATATAAATTAATAACTAACCATAGCTTAGGAACTTAGCTTATATACCTGCAGTATTTCCTATAAAAGTCAACCCTCTCAACTTAGAACGACTGAACCAATCTGGTCCAAACTTATTGTGGGACCTTTTTTTACCCCAGGGAAGGTTTATGAATGATCGAATTTAAAAAAAATTGCCACTAACAAAATTCGATTTTTCAACAGTTTGAAAATCCACAAATTTTGTTTTTATAAAATCTGCGAGATTTTTTCGTTTTTATTTTACAATGTAAACAAACAGAAAATGTTCACAGTTGAAATAGAAATAGGCGTGAATCGCCCTAAAGTCTAGTATATATATGTATATAGTATATATATATAGTATGTCTGGGTGTTTGTTTGTATCCAATAAAGGTAAAAACGGCTGAACCGATCGAGCCCAAATTTTTGGTGGGACCTCACATGTCCCCAGGGAAGGTTTATGAATAATAATTTTAAAGATTACCCTGCAACAAAATTTCAATGTCGTTAAATTAAGAAAATCCACAAATTTTTTGAATAAAATCCGCGAACATTTTGTTCCTTTTGTTTTACAATGAACACAAAAAGAAAAAGTTCACAGTTGAAATAGAAGATGGGCCATAAAAGTCCATAGTGAAAACATATTATACATATATTTTTGCTTGTATATATGTTAGCTATAGCTGGCCGAACGGCTAAACCGATTGGTCTAAATTTTTTAAGGGAACCCTTAACGAGTACCCCAGAAGTAACATAGGCTAAAAGATTGAATTTATTCTTTTTCAAAAATCGAAATGTTTTTCTTCAAAGTTCTTTTTTTAAGAAATTCCACGAAAAACGCTGGGCATTTAAGCTACTTACGTATACATGTGATGAACAGTTTTTTAAAAAGTAATCACTTTAGTCAATAGTCCAAACCTCGTTTTTTAGGGTTAAACCAGTTCAAGGATTTGGGAGGAGGAGGCATTGGAGGGAAGGTTGGAGGTACAGCAGTCGGAGGGAAGGTTGGAGGTACAGCAGTCGGAGGGAAGGTTGGAGTCACGGGAATTGGAGGCAGAGGTGGATTCAGTGATCGAAGAAGCTCAAAAAGAAGAGAATCAATGAGGGTAAGAATAGATGCATTAAATTTGTTTAGTAGATTTTTTATTTCTATTTCAATAGTATTAATTCTAAAAACATTTAATACATCAGATGTCAGATGGGTCCAATTCTGTAGTTAATTTAATCTTTCAAAGATCATTTTTGTTTTCAGTGATTTATTCTGTAATAGGGGCCAGATTTGATCAAATATTTCTGGAATGGTATCAGAGCATTCTTTTTAAAATTACATTTTCAAAAAAACAACAATAAAGCCATGGCTAGGGGAAAACAAATGAACATGAAGGGAAAAAACTATTCTCATAAAATAAAATGTTTATCCTTTAAAAATTATACTTTTAACTTTTAGTGTTCTATTCTTTCTTAAATGAATCCTAAACAAATTCTCCACAAAACTACATTCTCAGTTCTTTGATACACAAGAGATTAATTATCATTAATAAGAAATATAAAATGGCAGTTATATTACAGTAAAATTGATTTCAAAGTAAAAAATATATTTAAGTAAAAGATTGTGTTAACGAAACAAACTAATAAACTGCAAAAAGTCTTTAATATATAATATAATATATGGTAGAAGACATTTAAAACCATTCACTAATTTTCATGTTTCGTGGTACACCCTGTACTTCAAAACTTCAAAATATAACCACTGCAATTAAAACTCCAGTAACCGAATTTAAAGAATTTGAGCTACGCTTTAAATTTAAGCCGCGGCTTAAATATGGTTGGTTCCACTTAAAATTGTATCAAATGTTTCAAGATTTAAGCCGGCGCTTGATTTAAACCGGGTTATGGTAGATTTAAACCGCATCTCAAATTCTTTAAATTCCATCTCGGTTAATTTAAAGTGCCAGTGTCCGAATTTAATGAATTTGAGTCGCGTCTTTAATCCACCAAAAACCGGTTTAAATTAATACAAGTTTAAGTAAAACCAACCATATTTGAGCCGCGGCTTAAATTTAAGCCGCAGCTCAAATTCTTTAAGGAGGCTATGGATATTGTACAGTACAGTGATAGCACACCGACTATATACGGCAAGACGAGACAGTTCACCAAATGAATCAAATTCTTCTTTCGAAATTATTATGACCATTTTCCGACGCGATAGAGAAAAACCACCAATTAAATATTTTTTAAATTGTTTTTGTGAAAGACTTAAAATGAATTCCGGGAATTCTTTTCGGCCGATTCTCAAAAGAAAATTTCAATTTAAAAATGTTCTCTAAAATTTATTTTTAGAGACTTGAATTGAACTTTTCGAGCGTGTATGATTTTTCTAAGAAGACAGCCATGATTTTGCTTATAATTGAGGCTCACAATGTGTTCCTTTTTTTAAACCACGGGTCCTATCTTGATTTAAACTGTCTATTCTTCTTATATTTTGGTAATTCAAACTTTTGCTACTGGCATGTCACTCTGGTTCATTTCAAGTACCTTGCCGACTTTTAAGCAGCTATAGAGCAATCTGTACAGTACATATACAGACTATTTGACAATACTTAACGACGACCCTCTGTTTAAGTAATTTTTACCATTAAACCATTTTGCTTTAAGTTTAAAATACCTTTCTTTAACTCGTTAATTTGAAATACTTACATAACTGAATTACATTCGTTCAACCGTAAAACTGAACCACATCTATAACTTGCTATAAATAACATATATGTAATTTACACTAAAACAATAGTAGTTGTTTGATCGAAAGGATATTTAAACTTTGATTTTAAATGTAAGACGACATTCATAAACTTTTTAGACTATAAAAAATTTGAAAATAGATTTAAATAAACTTATATTTCTTGATGAAACTTTGTTCGTTATGATGAAAAAACAAAACGAAAAACGATCTTTTTTCGACCGTTTTTTTTAACAAACGATTAAAAACCTGTACTGCAGGTACTGAGCCTAGGATCTGGAAGTACAGACAGTAAAGAGAGTGAAGATATCCCACCTGCAAACCGTGTAGTAGTTCTAGGTAACCATTTCCATTAATCATTAAGAATTTAGCATACAGAGCCCCAAACTTAAAACTCGAGTACGTAATGGAACCCAGTATCGGAAACCCGGTTTTTAAATGGGGTCAGACAGTTTTGTAGATACCAATTTTATTTCTGTTAAGAAATATTATTGCATGCAATTTCTTGACATTATCTTTTTGTTTCCTGATTTCTTAAATTAAAATCTACGCTAATGCATACGATCCCAAAAAGGAAACTTGGGAGTCTCAAAACGATACTCAGTTCAACTTACATGAAAAATAAATCAGAAATACATATTTTCATAACACTAAATATAAAATTAATTATTAGAATGATAACTAGATTGTTTATAAACATCTTGCATAATTGCATAATTGCAACATTTGGTATATCTTGTGACAATACATAGAGAGTTACACATCTTTGCAATGAATGTCGTCTCTGTTCTTCCTTTTCTTAAGAAATGGATCTTACGATTTTGTAATTTACAATATTTGCAAGTTATAAATCTGTAAAAGTGGTGAGGCCGATTTTTAGAAATATTTCAAGCCTAAAAATCTATTTAATAAAGACGATGAGAATTTCACTGCGTTTTAGTTCTCACTGTATGCTTATCTATGAGTTAATAAATCCATCCATTCTTTGTCAATATCTCCCCATTCAGTTTACTGCCCAACCTTCCATTAAGCAGGGTAACCATTAATCTTCTCTTCCATTCCGTTGGAAGTAAAATATCGGGGGCAGTTCTATACATGAAGGTAGGGGGTGCAGAGCCGCCATAAGCGTTGCAAAATGACCTCCTGAGCCTCCTGACTCGCAGAATGATCTTCAGGCCTCGCGAAACCGTCTCCACGCCTTTGCAAATTTTGTCTACGCAACCCATATTGTGGTCTTCGCTTGCTGTGTTTTATTTTATTTTTTTCTTTGATGGCTTATGAAAATCATTCTGCGTATCAGGAGGCTCTGGAGGTAATTTTAGGGGGCTCATGGCGTTTCTGCACCCCCTCCCTCATACATTGCCATCTACCATTCACTCTTACACCACAACATACAGGGTTACTCAGAAGACTGTGGAATAGAAAGAAAATTTTATGAGATCTTGTGTATAATACTAGTTAAAGTGCCCGGCGTTGCCCGTGGAATTTAAAAAACAGTTGAAAAAAAGAGTTTGTAAAAAATCGAATTTCGAAAAAAAATACGGCATTTTTGTTCAGAGGCCGAAACTTACGACATGCTTAACCTTGGTTAAATCAGATTCTAACCATAATAAACTTATCGAAGACGACAGATTCTTGTAACCATGGTTAACTTTAACCAAGGGTAAAATCATTGTAATAGTTTGCGGCATCAGCGCAGCTCTGATTTTAACCCTAGGTTTACCTTGGGTTAAAGTGGGTTTAATCATGTTTAAATGGACGCGCTTTCTAGTTTTAGACTAAAGTTTCTTGATGTCAACATGATCTTGGTTCAAAAATGCACAAATGATTGACACTTTTCATCAAAATTATTGCATTTCTTAGAAAAAAATTTAGCTTTTAAAATAAAAAAGTTAATTTAATAGAAAAGGGTAATCTAATTTTGTAAAGCCATTTATAATAAAAAACTATTTTTCATTTATCATATAAAAATGTTAGTCTATCCATCATGTATAATTTTTTTTAACTCAATCAAACTTTTTTCTTTTATATCCTGAAATTTTGTTCTCTACTTTTTAATTTCAACATTATGTTTTTTTCTCAAAATAAGGAAGAGTTACTCTCTGATATCTTCTTCTAAACCACTGATTTATTTTAATTGTCTCTCTCCTGTAATCACCATAAAAGATTTTTTAAAAAACACTAGAGCATTTTTTATTAAACACATTATTTAATTAATAATATTTTTATATAACAGAAAAATCATTTTTTCTCTTTTTGTGACTTCACCACCTCTAACATTGAGCAGTCCAAGATAGATCATTACTAGAAGGAGATCAGTTTATACTAGATGAAGCAGAACTACGGGGAGCTTCATTCTTAGATGGAGTAGCACTGGATGTAGCAGCAGTCCTAAATATAGAGCATCACTGTATTGGAGGGAACACCATTTCCAGATTGAGATCTCAAGCACCTGAAAAACTCTCAACTAAAACCCACCCGCATAGAACAAACGACCCTGTTTTAGAGTCTGAAAACGACCCGCACGACCCCAAAAACTGGCGCCGGTCCGACTCTGTTTTAGTACTAA